TGGCGGTTCAAACCCACCAGCCACTCCTCAGAAGGAAGGTTGGGCAATCCTACTTCCGTAGTGATACTGCCTCGGAAACCCAAGGAGGGGTGGCTATGAGTCGGGGCCGACTCGACGGCACATAACAACAACAACAACAATCCCATTTGTGGTATATTTCTGTTAGAGCAGTACTAGGTAACCAGAACAGTGCCTAAGGCATTTGACTGGTAACCAGAAGGTTTGTGGTTCAAATCCACCAGTCACTTTTCAGAAGGAAGATGGGGCAATCTACTTCCATAAAGATTTACCGCCTTGGAAACCCAATGGGGGTTGCTGTGAGTCAGAATCGGCTTGATGGCAGTGAGGTTTTTTTTTTTTTTTGTAGCAAGTAGCAGTGAATAAATAAAAACCATTATTAAAGAGATCTAAGTTTAATAATTACCATATGCCAAGCACAGGGCCTACACTATATAGTCTCATCTGCACACACAGAATGTCTAGCCCATTCAGTGGCTGGGAACAAGTTGCTTTAAGATCACCAGCTAGTGGTATTTCTCTGTACCTCTCTATTACCTAGCAATTTAGCAAGTAGGCTAAAGGGTAGGGATATACGAATGTGGGAGTTATATCTTTGAAAGGCAGTACCTCTGTCAGTCAGAGTCTTTTGACCTGTGTTAGAGGGTAAGTGTTCATTTCTTATTTGACTACTTCTTACTTCATCACTTCTTCACATGGCAGCCAGTATGATCTTTGTAAAACCTAAATCAGGTTATGTCATCTTATTCTTGAAATCCTGCCATGGTTATTGTTACCATTATAGGAGTCCAAATTACTTAGTATGTGCTGTGAATTGCTTGATGTGGCCCTTCTAGCCATAGTTCCACCATTTTATGATGTAAATCCTATTATCCATGCCTGTTTAAGGTGGTGTCGTAGGTAGGGTTGTGTGTTAACTTGGCTGGGCAGCTGGTAGTAGTCATTCCCTGTAATGACTGGTAGTCGGCTCTGTGGTGGGATTTGCTGTGAGCAGCTAAGTAGCTGCTGTTGGTTAAAGCCATCCGGTTGGGTTATTTCTGTTGTAGCAGCACAGGTGGGATATATCTTGAGCCCTGCCTCAATGGAGGGTATAACTCACATCGCCACCCTTAGCTCCCTTGAGGGTATACATATGAACCTTTCGGGAAGGTCCACCTTCCTCTTGCTCCAGTTCTGCATTTTGGCTCATCATCACCCCACTCCTGGATTTGAGACAGCAGCTGTCATCTGATCTGCTGATTGAGGTTCGTCAAACCCCGAGAATTGGGGGGATCTACCAGACCTACTTACAGACCTGCAACTTGCCAGCCTGCCAGCCTCCGCCATCACTACATGAGATGATCCCTTGGGTGTCTGTGAGTTCAGTGAGGTGTTACAGTGAAATACAGAACCCTAAGATGGTTCTGTGCCAGTCTCACAATCCTTGCTATGCCTGAGCCCATTGTTTCAGCCACTGTGTCAACCCATCTTGTTTAGTGCCTTCCTCTTTTTCGTTGATCCTCCATTTTACCAAGCATGATATCCTTTTCCAGGGAATGGTCCCTTCTGACAACATGACCAAAGTAGGTGAGATGAAGTCTGGCCATTCTCTCTTCCAAGGAGCACTGTGGCTGCACTTCTTCCAGGACTGATTTGTTAGTCCATGGTACTTTCAGTATTCTTCGCCAGCACCACAGCTCAAAAGTATCAACTCTTCTTGGGTCTTCCTTATTCATTGTCCAGCTCTCACATGCATATAGGTGATTGAAAATACCATGGCTTGGATTAGGTGCATCTTAGTCTTCAAGGATACATATTTGCTCTTCAGCACTTGAAAGAGGTCTTTTGGAGCAGATTTGCCCAATGCAGTATGTCATCTGATGTCTTTGCTG